GTTGGCACCAGCACCAGAATAACAACAGTTAAATGTGTAATCAAGCTGATAAAGGGTTTATTATAAATCTTTGATTGTGATGTGAGATAATGTGTTTCTTTTCCCACAACAGTGGAATAAACATCTACAACTTAAAGGCCTAGCATTCCTTAAACGCTGCAAAAACATTCATCTAAAAATAAGTTTAAAAAATACTAGATTATAGTCTGAATCTTCTCAAAGTAAGTGAAATAATCTGCCAGTGCAGAAAAGCAATTGCACTTCATGAAATGATGATGACATTAAAAATGCCAGGTCAATGTGTATATTTAAGAGAATGATAAAGATTAATTTGCTGGAGAAATATGTAAATGTACGAATTGTTGTTCAAGGAGTTAAATCCCAGATCAATGTGTATATTTAAGAGAATGATAAAGATTAATTTGCTGGAGAAATATGTAAATGTACGAATTGTTGTTCAAGGAGTTAAATCCCAGATCAATGTGTATATTTAAGAGAATGATAAAGATTAATTTGCTGGAGAAATATGTAAATGTACGAATTGTTGTTCAAGGAGTTAAATCCCAGATCAATGTGTATATTTAAGAGAATGATAAAGATTAATTTGCTGGAGAAATATGTAAATGTACGAATTGTTGTTCAAGGAGTTAAATCTTTGCTATTCTTCTTTTTTCTTTTTCTTTTTTTTTTGTTGGTAAACTAAAGATTATTTTTTATTTAATTTATTTATTTGAGAAAAAGGGGCAAATATAATACGATTTATTCTTCTTCTGCTACCTTTGATTTAATTTATGATGTGTATTTCTGTTGTTTGTTGAATTAATGTTGCTGTTTTTAAAGAAATGAATAAACTAACTGAACTGAAAAAAAGGAAAACTGTCCAGGCTAACAAGATAAATAATGAAACACTTTCTGTTTTTGCTCAATCTCAAACCAAAGATWTACGATACAAAATTTGGTTAGATGGACAACTTTTGCGATGAAGAACACATCTCTCAATGTCTTTCATGTTTTTAACTAAAATAATTTATAATAATAATAAGGAACAGGGTTTTTTTTGTCAAACCTTACATACATAGCACAAAAAGTAAGAWCATTTGTTTCTGTGTTGTGACAATGCTTCTTGGCAAATGCATCTTATATTAGGGAACCTGACTGGCAGCACCTGAGGGTTTCAGAAGCTCAAAACAAGCATCAATAGCAACAGCAAAATAAGTTGTTTTGCAATGGCAGAAAAGACTTGACATATTTTCCATGTGCACAACCCACACACTCAGCTCTGCTCATGCCCCAAAAGCATGTTCCTTACAAATGTGGCACCATTTAAAAGAGAAAATAACAGGCTTCATAAAATTTATTCCCAAGAAGCGTTGTTACAACAAAGAAATAATCTACCAAACACAGATTTTCTTACTTTTTGTGCAAAGTTTAGTTCCAGATATGTGTTTGCAAAGGGTTTCAGAGCTTTGGAGGCCATGTTGACTCCAAAGGTTAGATATGCATCCACTAATTACATTTTTTAGAGTTTCATTACAATCTGTCTAGTGGCTCATGGAATATTTTACTAACTTGAATAACAAATCATAAGTGGGCCATGACTGTCAGCTACAAACACACCAAATTTTAACTCAACATTTGTAAAATTGATGGGGTTATAGACACTTTTGTGTTTGCCGTGGTGCATCAGCTGTGACAAAAGAAACATACTGTACATGTGCGAAAACATGATTGTCCCTTCACTTACGGCAAATAATTATTCTTATGATGATAAAGCTTAAATGGAGTTTTCCACTCATCTAGATCTGAGATTTTCTTGTTTTGTTCATCTCATTCATCACAGAATGCTCAAATACATAAAAAAACGACTTTCTAAGTACTGCTTCATGCATGCCTGCTGCTTAGATAACATTTGCTGCAGTTGCAKATGTTGGCAGTGTTTTAAAGCACGTGTAGAAAAGCATGTCAGTGGATGTGCTGATTCACTTTTATGGCATGACAACACCAAATGTTGATGGTTGTCTCCTTGTGGTCGAGTGTTCTTTTCCCTTCGAACCGTCCACACTCCCTTATGTACACCTATAAGAATGTGAAACTATGTGTGCACGTGCAAAGTTGTGTTTGTAAATGTCGAAAAAGCTGTTAAGCGGCGTGCGGGGACATGACCGTGCACGTGGTGGCGTCTCGGTGCAGTTTTCGTCACTGTTGTTTTTCCAGATTCCACAAACTGAGAGTGTGCGAGCGTGCTTGCGCGTAAAATACATACACGCAGTCTGGCTGTCCTGGAGTTGGGGCACATGCCTGTGGCCTGTGTTAGTCTGTGGCTGGTGTAATGATGACAGGCTCGCAAACACTCGCGCAGATTCCAGGACCCCCACGTATACACGACTTGGCTGGAGCCTGTGTGGTAAACTGTGCTGCTGACAATGCTCCCATTACTCTCAATTACTCTAAAGAATGGAAATAAAAAAATGTTTAAATTGTTGAGTCTGTCCTCAGCAGCAGTGAAACACTCACTCATACTGCCCACTTTAATAAAAATAGCAATACCACAATGTTAAACTGCTCTGTGAAAAACGTCTGTGAAATGATGTCCATGATAGGTTTAATTATAATCACCCAAAGTTTGACATAAGCTTTTATTTTGAATACTTATTACACAGGCAAAATAACTGCTGCGAAGCATTCTCATACACTATTTTGCCATCAATTCTCATGCAATCACACATAGACTCGCTGATTTGTTTTGAAGTGATTCGCAGAGAGAATGAAGGAGCACAAAATACATCAACTCTGCTAAAAAGTCCCAGAAAAGCACTTGAATTACGTCCTAAGCTGTTCATTATCCCTGATCTTCAGTGACAGTCACACGAAAGCCGAAACCTGTTCTCCACAGCCAGACTCAAAATCAGCGTCTTCAAATATAAACAGAAAAATAAAAAGTGTCTTGTGCTTCTTTTGATCTGACAAGAAAATCAAGTGAAAAAAACAACAACAAGCACAGTAATTTCCTCACATCTTCTAATCTAAAAGGGTCTAATTACAGGCATCGAGGTGTATTTGAGAGGTTTTATGGCCTATATATTAAACGCATCTATTGCACAACGTTGCCAGGAAAGAGGCTGTGCAGTTGCAGCAATTGCAAAGATTGAGAGAGGCAAGATCTTTTTTTAAGAGGTTGCATCACAAAAAATAAGCGTTGCTCTTCTGTTCATTCTTTGAATCCTTGTGTAGATTGAGTAAGATGAAGTAATTAGAGGCTTTAACCTGGATAACTAGCTATCTGCTCTGCTACACATGAATAAGTCATAATTAGAAACTAGCCCACAGCGAAGTGGCAAGCACTCACCAGGACACTTATGCTTTGTTATTACCACTTTGCAGTTATCATTTGATATGGCCACATCCTGTCCTTTAGTTAGTGTTGACTTGATGACACGGGCCTAATTTAACAGTACCTGCTTGGTGGTATGTTCATGTTTGATTTAATGAAGTTGTTTTCTGAAGGATTAAAGTATTTAAGCTGTCCACTCATGGTGAGTTTAACACAAGATAATCTTCTACAAAACCCTTCTTTTCAAATGTTTTTATACCAGAAATTTCACCTAATTGAACATTTGGTCAAACATTTTAGGACACATAGCAAATGTAGATTAAAAGACAAATGACGGACAGAAAGAAATGTTATCATAAGGAATTTAATAACACAAAATTTCACATTTCTTTGCATAACCTTTCATATAAAAGAATATATATAATATATGTAACATATTTACAACACATGCAGCACCGTGGTTTTGTTGTACCGGTGATTGGGACAAATAAGTGCCACATGCAGACTAGTATTTACAATGCAGTAATTTACTGCAATAACTGTGGCTATAAGTTCCGTAAAAAGAGAAACAAAACAGCTTTGCCACAACCGACAACATGAATCGACCCTCCAAAATACTTTTTTTAAATGTCACTTTCTCACTTCTGATTCTTCATTTGTTGGTGGGGAGCCAGAGAAGTTCATCTCACACTGTTCCATCCCTCTGGGTATATCACTTTTCCAAGATTCATGTCCATCCTTCCGGGTGAAGCGTTTGTGCCAGCAGCTTTGGCAGGAAAGAATAGACTTAGGTGTTGGGTGTCTGGATACATGTGTGTGTGTGTGTGTGTGTGTGTGTGTGTGTGTGTGTGTGTGTGTGTGTGTGTGT